GGGCAGTGAAAAGGCCGCCGTATGGAGGATTTTTGCTTTAAGGTGAGTTTTAAGCCCATAGGAATGCATTGAAGGGGTTTCAATGCATTCCTATGGGGTTTTAAAAATCGCATAATGACGAAATCGCTTTGCAGCGATTTTTGCTGCATGGATTATCGTCGCTATGTAAGGCACCACTGTATGTTCTTCGTGGCCTCTGTAAATGCGCACAAATGGGTTAGATTGCACCTGCGCGGGACTCCTTGGAATATTCTAGAGCGTAAAAACATGTGATTAGTAGGACGTTCCCCCATGGTGCTCATGCTCCGCCCGCCTGTAATACCTCAGTTCCTTTTTGCCACCGCTGCAATCGGACTCCTTTGCGACTTCTAGAGTGAAATTCTTGTATTCTACGTTTTTTGATCCTGGACTGATTTATGTTTATGATTACTGGTTTTTGCACTTTGGGTTATACTACATCTGATTTACGGTTTTGATTTGGTCTGGCAAATGTTGACATTTTTCCTTGAGTTGATTCCCCCCTTTCCCGTTCCCGCCTATTTTCATGGCTTCCTCGGGCCCCTCCAAGCGCAGCACATTGTGTGCTAATAAGATTCCCTTCACGGACGGCCAGGATTGGTGCTTATTCTGTTTAGGGGAAAGGCACCAAACCCACTCTTGCCTGGAGTGTAAAAAATTAACCAAGGCTGCTCTCAAGCTCCGCTTACAAAGGCTTAGGTCATATTTGTAGGAAAAATCCCTGTCACCCTCGAGCCCAGCAGCCATGGAGCCTACCGTACCTCTTGCTCCTCCTGCTCCTCAACCCGAGCCCACTTTTCAGTTGACCCCTGCTACCCCTTCTACAAGGGCTTCTTTGAAGGGCACCAAAACTGAAAGCAGCTTTGGTACTGACATCAGCATCGGTGCCGAAATTGAGAGAGCTCAACGACGCTGTATTCTCCCATATCTCCAGCAAGTGGGGAACACCGGCCATCAACATGTTTGCCACAGAGACCAATTCAAAATGCAGCATGTATTGCTCTTGGGTGGAAAGAGGCAAGAACTATCTGGGCGACACCTTCATGGTGAACTGGAATGATGTTCTCCTTTATCTGTTCCCTCCCATCCCACTCATTTAGCGAATGTTAGTCAGGCTCCATCAGTTTCGGGCCAACACCATTCTGATAGCTTTTCGGTGGCCCCAGCAACCCTGGTTTACCCCCCTCAAAACCATTGCTTCCAAGTTTCTGAGACTACCTCCCCTACCATCCCTCCTGACCCAGGATGGAGGCAAGATCTGCCATCCCAATCAGGAGTTGCTCCACCTCACAGTGTGGAGGATTCACCATATATAGTGGATGTGTTGAATATACCTAGGAGATCCCCTCTACCAAGTTGTTGTACTTATACAAATGGAGGGTTTTCTCCAAGTTCGCTGTCTCCAGAGGTTTTTCACCTATTCCGGCTTTGTTGGATACCCTTTTCCTCTTCCTACATTACCTGTTTGACCAGGATTATATTTCTGCTGTGGTTGCTTATCAGCCCACTGGTTTAGAAACTTCCCGTTTGTTCTCGCACCCGACTTTAAAGAGGTTCTTAAAGGGCCTACATAACATTCGCCCACATGTCCAACCTCTGCTCCCACAGTGGTCTCTCCAGGTTGTGTTAAGGGCACTAGCTTGCCCCCCACATTCGAGCCCCTGTCCTCATCTTAAGCTTATCTCCTTCAAGACAGTATTTCTTGTTGCCATAACTTCTGCATGACGAGCTAGTGAATTGGCTGCCCTTTGGGCTGATGCCCTTTATACAGTGGTGCCTCGCATAACAAGCGCACCGTTTAACAGCGAATCCACATAGCAATCTATTTTTTGCGATCGCTAATGCGATCGCATTGCAATGTTTTGAATGGGAAAACATCGCTGACTTCAGTGTTGGCGTGACGGTCCTCCTTCCTGTAAGTGAGCTTCCTAGTCACCCATTTGTGTGCATTTACAGAGGCCACAAAGAAGAAAGAGAGGTTACTTACCTGTAATCATAGTTCTTCGAGTGGTCCTCTGTGAATCCACACATCCTGCCCATCCTTCCCGCTATCCATCACTTTGGTTCTTGTGCTTTGTTACAGCCAGAGCCCTGACAGCGGCGGACTTTGGAACTGAGGTATTACAGGCGGTTGGAGCATGCGTGCCACGGGGAACGTCTTACTAATCACATGTTTTTAAGCTCTAGAATATTCCGAGGAGTCCTGCGCAGGCGCAGAATAACCCATTTGTGTGGATTCACAGAAGACCACTCGAAGAACTATGGTTACAGGTAAGTAACCTCTCTATTTCAGAACTGCAGAGCTGGAAAGGGACCCTATGAATCATCAAGTCCAGGCCTTGTGAAGAAGGTATAATTCTATGCCAGTGTGGAGAGGCTGTTTTCGGAATCTGACCTTCCAGTTAATACTACATCTGAAAAAACAGTTATTTTTAAGATTGTGCCATCTAGAGATAACTTTGTCATTGGTTTCCCTTTATACCACAGGCTTGGATTATTGCTTTGTCTGCTGATAAGAGATACATTGTCATTCAGTTTGATACAAAGGAAATCCTCTTTGAAAATAATTTCAGAGTGGTAGACATTTTACCAGAATTCTTGTCAATGAGATTCAGTGTCTTTATGCTTACCTTACATACGAGGTGGCAGACAAGTTTGTGGTTTATCTTCCACTTACTATCATCTCTAAAGCCCAGGGAAAAACACCACAAAATATCTTTTCCTACATGGTTTTTAAAGAACAGGCTGTTAGGGAAACTACACTGTTGAAGAGAGATGCAGTAAAAAGAAGAAAATAAATGAAACACAGTCTTCCAGTGTAAGAGAAAACTGAAAAGAAATTCTGAAAGGCCTTGAGAATGAGACAGGAAATAAATGTTTGGGGGAATTGGAGGACTGATCATGGTCCAATACCAGTTTTACCTCTTTCTTGGAGAGACAATACTGTGCTCCATCATATCTGCTTTGGGCTTATAGGGAAGAAGCTGTAATATGAGGGGCAATATATATCTACAACGGCCCCTTGAAAATGCTGGAGCATTTTGGAGGCCCTGAGGAAGGTACTGAATGCAGAAGAATTACATATTCTGAGCCAGGAGCCAGAAATGTTCAGAAGCCATTTTTCTGAGAAATATTCCAAGCACACATACTCTCCCCATGTTTTTCTTAGAAGGCAACTTTGCATAACTGTTCACAAAATGTCTGCACCATTTTGGTAGCTGCTTCCCCATCACTTTCATGCCATAAAATGACATTAGGTAGGTGGCACTGTGGCAGATACAAAATGGTGATTAGGCTGCCAGTGCACCTGAAGCTGGTGCAATACAAAAAAGAAAAAAGGGACTGGCAGGGACAGGGGTTACAAAGGTATGCTATAACTAGAGATGGGGGTATATACGAATATCCCCACACAAGTGGCGATAATAAGGGTCCAGCCCCATGGAGCCGGATCGTCCACTCACCATTCCACCGCTGCCGTGGATCCTGCAATTTTTCCAGTGGCTCTGCAGATCACAATCTACAAGCCACTCTTTAACCTTGCAGCGAGGCTTGCCCTTCCGCCTCCTGCCAGGAGTGGTTAGCCGATCGTGATCTGTGAAGCCATTAGAAGAATCATGGCATCCGCAGCAGCAAAGGATCAATGAGTGGATTGTCCATTCTCATAGGGCTGGACCCTCATTATCACCTCCTGTGTGGGGGTGTTGTTATTGTTTAGTCGTTAAGTCGTGTCCGACTCTTTGTGACCCCATGGACCAGAGCACGCCAGGCCCTCCTGTCTTCCACTGCCTCCTGGAGTTTGGTCGAATGCATGTTGGTAGCTTCAGTGACCCTGTCCTACCATGTGGTCCTCTGTCGTCCCCTTCTCCTCTTGCCCTCACACTTTGCCAACATCAGGGTCTTTTCCAGGGAGTCTTCTTTTCTCAAGAGATGGCCAAAATATTGGAGCCTCAGCTTCAGAATCTGTCCTTCCAATGAGCACTCAGGGTTGTGTGTGTGGATATTCATATTCAAATATGAATACCCTCATCTCTAGCTATAACCCCTGCTAAAAGTGAACCTCAGTCTGAGAAACTCTTGATTTCTCTTTATCCTGGATTCATTCCCTGAAATTCATTTCTTTAGCAAGAGAAGGGAGGAAATTTCAAAAGGCTATTTGTATATAGTTATAGTTGGAGTATAGAGGCAATTAATTAGGCTTTGTTAGTAACAGCTGCACAGTTTTGGAACTACTTCTTAGAAACCTTTAGGAGATGTTGCCACCTTTTCAAAAAGGGACTAAAACCTTGAAGTTTTCAATTTACTTTTAATCTGGCTGTTTTCTAGTATATATTGTACGATTTTTAGCCACTCTTATCAGGTGATTGTTTTATATTGAATTTTTAAGTACTGTATTATTCTTAATAATTGCAGTATTTACATTGTTTTATGGAAAAGATGAATATTAAATTATTTCCAGTGGAGAAAAAATATATGAAAATTTGGGTGCAAGACATGAAAAGCGTTCATATTTTCTCATATTGAGTTACTTTTGGTACATACTGCAACAAAAATGCAATTAACATAGCTTTCTATATTGGCTATGCTTATCTATGATGGTTATTTTTTTGCTTAATCCAATATGCAAAGAAACCTGGTGCTTGTGCTAGTGTTAAGATTTTTAGATTCTTCTTTGAGCCTTGTCCAAAGACACGGAACGCTGTTACCTTCCCACCTAAGTGGTCCCTATTTATCTACTTGCATTTGCATGCTTTCGAACCGCTTTTGGTACATATTGCAACAAAAATGCAATTAAGATAGCTTTCTATATTGGCTATGCTTATCTATGATGGTTATTTTTTTGCTTAATCCAATATGCAAAGAAACCTGGTGCTTGTGCTAGTGTTAAGATTTTTAGATTCTTCTTTGAGCCTTGTCCAACACTGGAAAAAATGACTCTAGAAGGCTTTTAGGCTCTCTGGAGTTAGGTGTTGGGTGTTGTGGAGATGAGTGCAGGATCTGCGAGGGCTGCAGGACAGAGGGAGGATATGGTGGCCCTCTTGTTTTCACATCTAAAAATGCTTGCACAAATGTTATGAAGTATTGTCCATTAGTTGCTGTAGTTTGTGCAGCAATAACTGTACATATAATATACTTCATAAACAGAGCAAAAGTGATACTTCTCCTCTCTGCTTACCATAAGTGGAGAAACAAAGGAGCGGGCTGCAGGACAGAGGGAGGATATGGTGGCCCTCCTGTTTTCACATCTGAAAATGCTTGCACAAATGTTATGAAGTACTGTATTGTCCATTAGTTGCTGTGGTTTGTGCAGCAATAACTATGTATATATATTTCATAAACTGAGCAAAAGTGATACTTCTCCTCTTTGCTTACCATAAGTGGAGAAACAAAGGAGCAGTATTTTTGGATTGTTCAGTGGTTCATAAAGAAGGGAGGGCATTGCATATACTCTGGGTTATTGTTATTTTGCCCCTTTGGATTAGGACTGTTCACAGGAATTCTCATATATATGTTTCCTTACACACAGTGAGAAATGAGCTGTTGGATGACATTGCAAATGCCACATTTTCTGGAGGTGATGATGATTTTGCTTACATGAGGATTATTCTAATTGTCATGCACATTTATACCTGGGTTTGTCTCATTTCCTTCTTTATGTCTGGTTGGTTGGAATTCTTATGAAGAATTGTTAGATCTATAAAGACAAACACAAATATTTTGATGAACTGTTGAGTCTCTTGTTCATTGATGTCGCATAGTGTAAAGTTGCACGGCAAATAACTGACTCCCTTCTATTCTCTGCCTTGTTTTTAGAACGATCAGGAATAGAAAATGTCAACTCTGTGGAGGCACTGCAAGAAACGTTAATTCGTGCACTCAGGACCTTAATCACAAAAAATCATCCAAATGAAGCCTCTACTTTTACAAAATTACTTTTAAAACTGCCTGACTTGCGTTCGTTAAATAACATGCACTCTGAGGAACTTTTAGCCTTTAAAGTACACCCATAGGTTTTTACCTCTTATTTATATAATGGGACTTACTTAATGTTAATTAACTGTGTGTATTTTGTGCTAAGATGTTTATTTATGTTTGTACTTACGTTTTGTGGAGAAGAACTTGCTGCCTGTGTAATGGGTAAATGTTTTTTGTCATGCAATAATGGTTCGGGTTCAGCATTTTTCTGCCAGTGAGAACGTGACCACAGATTTCTTTATGATTGTCCCACACAGCCCCATTTGCACTAGAGCCGGAGAAGTTATCTTAAACCATATGGATACTGACTGTTAAGTACTGCACCTCTGCAACAAAAACCATTATATTTCTCTGTTATAAAAAAAAATGCACCATGGCTGTGTGGAAAACAGATCTTCAGGTAAATGACACTGTGGTGACTGAAGAGATTGAATTAACCTGTCCCCCTTTTGAGCATCTTTAGATAAGAAGAACTGCAATTCTGCTCATGGCTTCACTATTCTTAATTGAAGAAATTCCGTGGGATGTCTTCATGTATATCAGTTTGGTAGCACACGTTCATATGCTGTGTGTATATGTATAAAATGAACAGAGATGTTGGGTGTGGCATGACTTTCTAAAATGTATTGTGTGTGTACATACTTGTGTGTATATATAAATAGTTCAGATAAACAACATTTATAGAACTTCTTCACAATATTTTCAACTGTGAAGAAGGTAACATAAAAAGTGACCCATGACAACAACCAGAGGATGCATTTTCTTGTTTATTCTGAACCAAATGTCTTGAAGATTTGGAATGTTTGGAGAACTCTGGATTAACAGAAGGTGTTGAATGTGTTAATTTAAGCAGTACTACAGCATCAGTAGTGAAATAGCAGGCCTGCCAAATCAAAACAATTAAGGAAAAAAAGATACTAGACTAGTATGATTTCTTTTTTAAAAGTCTGCACCTAAAACTGTTATGTGCTAATAGGCATTTAAATGCTCCTGATCATTTCGTTTAGACTGAAAGAAAACTGTAGTTCTCTCAGACAATTTTGGAGAATTTGACGATTCCACATTAATACCTTCAGTGTATATTTATGTGTGTTTGTGAATCATAATTTACTCTACACCTATTGCTTTAATGCTACATGAAATTGTGAAACAAAATTCTGAGACACAGTGAATGTCTCTTAACATTTGTTTAAGGGATGGGATTGACTCCAAATGAGTTTTGTTAAATCTATACAGCATTCTTAAATTCTTTTTCTGTGCACAGGAAAGGTCACTAGTTTGGCTGGTGTCAGTTCTATTTTTTATATATTTGATGCTCTTTTGAAAATACAAGTTATAAATTTGGGAAATATCTGCTTTGTATCTTATCTCAAAATGGCATTTTCATATAATATCAGAAACTGGAAACAGGTACACACAGTGGCACTTAAAATAACCCAGAGTGTTATAAACTACCCTTAGTGGTAGAGAGATATGAAAAATAATCACATGTAGATCCAGATGAAATAACCATACCTTTGTAGAGCTGCTGAAATCAACAGAGTTATCTTAGCTGGGACTAATGTGATTCAGTGTGTCTAACATGTTTGACTAAGTCTGGGTCCAAATCTTTGTCTGCAATATTAGAAATGAAGCAAAAGAATGAATCTTGATGTTTCATGTGATTTTCAGAGGTTAGGTTGCTGAAGGAAAATCATGCTGCTCTTTGGAATTGAAGTGACTGTTGATTCCTAATTATTTTATTGATCAAAGTAAGATCAGAAACTCCAAAAAAGCCCTATTCACATTAAATTAATGTGGTATGTTAAATCTTTGTAGGTTTGATAGAGGTGGGTTTAAGCTTAGTTTTCTACCCAATTACTCAAAGAAAACATTTACTGAGAGGAGGTTGTTTCTGTTTCTTGCTATAACAGAACATTTGGAGCATTTGTATTGCTTTTAAAGACATTCTGTCTCAAAATTCTACAGTCTAATTCAAAGGAAAAGTATACAGTGGTGCCTCGCATAGCGAGGTTAATCCGTTCCGGATTAACCTTCGCTATGCTGAAGCATCGCTGAACGGGGCAGCGATTTCCATTGGAACGCATTAAACATCGTTTAATGCGTTCCAAATAGGCCAAATACTCACCGTTCAGCGAAGCTTCAGGATGGCCGGCAGCCATTTTCGCGCCCTCGCCTTGCTTAACGAGGGCGCGAAAACGCTGCGCGCGGCCATTTTAGGCCATTTCCCGGCTTCCGGTGGCCATTTTGGCCGCCGAACAGCTGGAGTCTACTGTACCAGCACCACTGTGAAGGGAACCATGTACGCAACTGTTTCAGGTGAACAATTACTGAGCAGTGTTCCAGCAAAACAACTGGTCAGTAATGTTGTCTTTAGTCCTTCTCCCACAGTTAAGAACCACAGATTTTCAGAAAATGAATTGCTTACTTGGTGTAGGGTACAAGATATTTTGGAATTTCGTTTTAATCACAAAGCTAGGTAATCCACCTTGCATTCACTTCTTAAAACGTTAATGTTCTGATTCTAGGGTTTTTATAGAA